CCCCCCAACCAAGAAAACTTTTGGGTTTCCCGAATTCTTAAAAATCGGGATTGGTTTTTTTTTTTGCAAAAATTTTTCTGTGTTGGTTGGTGAACTTTGTTTTTTTTTTTTTCCAGTTTTTTTTAAACTGGTTTTTTTGCCCCCTTTAGGACCGGGTTTTTCGACAGTTCCTTTAAAAATTTTTTTTTTTTTTTTTTTGAAAAGAAAAATCCTTTTTCTTTTTTTTATATTTTTAAAAAAAAAAAAAATTTATTTACAAAAAACCATAAACAATTTTTTTGCCATTAAAAAAAAAAAAAAAAAAAAAAAAAATTCGTATTTTTTTATTAAATTTTTTTTTTTTTTTTTTTTTTTTTTTTTTTATAAAAAATAAAATAGTTTATTTGCAGTCATTGATAATGAAATAATATTTAATTTTTAATTAAAAATAGAAATAAAAATATTTTCAATTTTAAATAGTAACAAATGGATATTTTTTGACAAAAAAAATAAAATAAAAAAAAAATAAAAACTATTGGTTATTTAAAGAACCCAAATAAAATTCATGTATATCTTAAATATTTTTGAAATCTCTTGGTGAACATAATTTTATATTATGATATTTTATATAATTATTATTTTATTTAATTTTATTTAATTTATTTATTATTAATTTTTATTTTCATTTTTTATTGAATTAGGGGGTTGAACACACACTATCATATTTTTATTTATTTATACATAATACCCCTTTTTATACATATAAAAATCAAATATTATACCATATAAAAAGATATTAAGTGTATATATAAATATAAAACCCAAAAAAAAAAATTACATTAAAATAATTATTTTTTTATAATTTTTTTTAATTTTTTTTTTAATTTTTTTTTTAATTTTTTTTAATTTTTTTTTTTTCAATTTTTTAATTTTTTTTTTTATATATATCTTCATAAACACCTCACAACATCACCTTATTTAATTTAAATTAGTATTAGTAAATACTATAGCATAGAGACATTAAAATAACAAAAATCAAATCATATTAAAAAATATTAAAATAAAAATAGTGTATAATCTAAATTTATATATATATTTTTAAATACTTTTTTTTTTTTTTTTTTGTAATTTATTAAACTCTCTCTTTAAAATTTAAATTTATAAACTCTTTCAACAACACAAACACACACATACACCTTTTTTTTTTTTTTTTTAAATTAATATCTTTTTTTTTTATCAATCTAAAAATTTAATAAAAAAAAAAAGAAAAAAAATTTAAATTTAAATTAAAAAATTATTATTATTTTTTTTTTAAAATTTTTTTATCAATAAAATTATTAATTAATTTATAATAAACTACAAATTATTTATAATATTAAAAATCAAATAATTATTAAGAAAAACAACTGCAACAAACACAACATAAAATTTTGTAATTTAATAACCCATAAAATAATAATAATAAAAAATAATAATAATAATAATAATAATAATAATAATAATAATAATAATAATAATAATAATAATAAATAATAATAATAATAACAACAAAAACAGCACTATACAGAAAAGAAATAATTTAAAATGTTTCATTCAGAATATGAAAAAAAACTAAGATCACCATCCAAGTCACCAAGTAGTTCAAAATCATATTATCAAAGTAATGGTATATATTCATCACCAATACCATTACCCCTATCTTCCTTCTTTCAAACCAATATAGATAGTAATAACAATAATACTATTATTTTAACCACAAGTAATGAAAACTATGATGAAAACAGATCACCCATAAAAAGGTCGCCAAGTAAAACAACAAATTTAATGGGAACACCAACTACAGCATCAACCAATACAGTTTTATCAAATGATAGTTATGGAGATAGATTTATACCAATGTCAATAGGTATTGAATCACAAAATCATTACAGTATGGAAGAAAGTAATTTTTTTTATCCAAGTGAAAATAATTTATATACAATCGATAGACAAAAAGATGAAAGTCATTTGGCATATAATATGATTTTAAAAAATGAATTATTGGGGTCATTATCATCATCTTTTTTAGAGACCATTTCTGCATCACCAATTAAACAAATCAATTCAAATATAAATAACAATAATAATAATAATAATAATAATACTGCGAACAATAGTAATCACCAACAAAATGTAAATAATAACAACAACAATAATAACAACACCAATACCAACACCAATAACAATAACAATAACATCACTGTCACCAATACCAATACCAATGCCAATACCAACACCAATATCAATACTAATACCAATACAAATACCAATACCAATACAAATGCAAATAATAATATAAATAATATAAATAATATAAATATAAATAATAGTAATAGTAATCAAACCAATAATATAAATAATACGAATTATAATAATATTGAAGAAATTTTTACAATTAATAATCCCACCCAAAAAATAAAAAATTCATATAGGATAATAAAATATAATAATAATAATGTTAACAACTTTAAGCTGGTATATCAAAAGTATAATAAAAGTAAAAAAAATAGGTTTTAGTTATAGCCACGGATTCCCCCCATTTTCATTATCCCCCCCCTAAGCGATAACTCACAAAAACTATTATCATCACCAAGAAAACCACAAAGACAAACCCCCCAAACCCCAATAAAGATATTGGATGCACCAATGATCAAAGATGATTTCTATTTAAATTTAATTGATTGGAGCTCACAGAATATTTTAGCTGTTGGTTTAGATACAAGTGTATATTTATGGAATGCAACTACAAGCCAAGTATCAAAGCTTTGCGAAATGGAGCCAAACCAACCAGTTTCATCCGTCGGATGGATACAACGTGGTACCCATTTAGCTATTGGTGGTAATGATGGTATTGTTCAAATTTGGGACGTAACTAAGAAAAAGAAAATCAGAGAATTGCAAGGTCATTCATCAAGAGTAAATTCTTTGGCATGGAATAATTATATACTAAGTAGTGGTGGTAAAGATAAAGTAATATTGAACCACGATGTAAGGTCAAGTGAAAACTCTTTTGCTTCAAGATTGGTCGGACACAGACACGAGATTTGTGGTCTTAAATGGTCACCAGACGGTCAACAACTTGCAAGTGGTGGTAATGATAATTTATTAAATGTTTGGGATAATTCAAATTCATCAAAACCATTGTATCAATTTAAATTCCATTATGCTGCCGTCAAAGCTATAGCATGGAGCCCACATCAAAGAGGTTTACTCGCAAGCGGAGGTGGTACTCACGATAAATGTATTCGTTTTTGGAATACAATGAATGGACAATCCATCCAATCTATAGATACTGGTTCCCAAGTTTGTAATTTAGCATGGTCAAAGAATGTAAATGAATTAGTTAGTACTCATGGCTACTCTCAAAATCAAATTAGTGTTTGGAGTTACCCATCTATGACTCCTGTGACTACTCTTACTGGCCACACAATGAGAGTTTTATATTTGGCTGTTTCCCCTGATGGTCAAACTGTCTGTACTGGTGCCGGTGATCATAGTTTACGTTTTTGGAATATTTTCCCTTCAAATAAAGAATCTAGTTTTTCAACAAAATTAGATTCTTTTTACAATAAAAAGGAATTAGATATCAGATAAATAAAATAAAAAAAAATAAAAAATAAAAAATTAAATTTTTATAAAATTAATTAAAAAAAAAAAAAAAAAATCTATCAATAATTATTCTATCAGTAATATCTACCGGAATTTTTTTTTTTAAAACGATTAGAAACTACTAAAATTAATAATTCCAAATATATATACAAAAAAAAAAAAAAAAAAAAAAAAAAAAGGAAAAATTCTGAAGATTCTTTTTTTGTAATTATATGAATTAATTATTTTTTATTTTTTATTTTTAATTTTAATATATATTTGATTAGTTATTCTAATAATATTTAATAGATTTATCTAAATATATTAAAATAAAGAACACACTTTTTTTAAATATTTTTTTTTTCTTTTATCAAAATAGTTATTTTTATTTGTATAATAATATTGCGGATTTTTTATGTGTTTACATTAGGTTTTTTTAGTATGTGTACTTGTAATTTACAGTATATGTATATGTGTTGTGTGTTGTTAAAAAAAAAATTTATTTATTATATATGGAAAGGATAATTTTATTTTTTTTTTTAGTTAGTGTGTTTGAGTGTGTAATGGTAAAATAAATTGAAAAAAGTATACAGAAAAAGAGAAAGAAAATTAATTGTGTGTAAGTGTGGGTTAATTAATTTAATTATTTTTATTTATTTTTTTTATATTTCTTTTTTTTATTTTATTTTTTTTTATTTATTTTTTTTTATTTTTTATATTTTATTTTTTATTTTTTTAAATAATTAATCTAAAAATACAATATTTTAATTTCTTATATATTATCTTAAATTATAATCAGAAAAAACAAATAAATAAAATAGATAAAACATAGTTAAAATAAAAGAAAAATTAAATATCAACCTGAAAAAAATATAAAAAAACACAATGCCAATTATTGGATCAGGTGGGGTTTTACCTGGAGTTAGTTATTTATTAGGATGGGGATTTATAGCAGCATTCAGCGGGGCTTTCTTAATTTGGAGAACTGTATATAATGTATTATTTTGTTCAAAAAAAATAAAAACGATGAGAGAAATAATACATGGTACGATGGCATGTTTTATGATTCGTAAGTAATGGTTTAATTATATTTTTATTATTAGCACACCCATTAATTGTTTTATATATTTTTAATATAGTGACGTCTGCATCTTTTTTTATTACATCAAGAATTTTACATGATGATAATCCTTCTTTTGATTTAATAAAGGGTTTAGTTGTTATTTTTATTATTTTAAATTTTTTTATTCCACTTTTAATTTTTTCAATTTTATCTTTATTTTTAAATTACTGGTAAATATAAAAAAAAAAATAATAATTTTGTGCATAATTTTATTAATTTTTTATATACTTTTTTATTTTATAGGATTGGTATCAGTACAGATATTAGGATGAATGGAAAAATTTTTAATAATAAAACATTGGTATTGTATATAGTTTTAACAAGTCCATTGGGTATCATTGCGTTGCTAAATATTATTGCATTAAATAGGTTATTCGATTTCAAAGTTACAGAATCTATATATTTATTAGCTTTTTACGCACCAAATGCACTGTCACTTTTGTTATCAATCATTTTAACAACTTCAATTTTGGTTTTATTAAACAATACAAGAAAAGTGGAGTCAACTAATAAATCAGTAAGAGTTTTAAACTATAAATAGTTTTTATATTAATTTACTAATATTTTCTTTTTTTTATAAATTTATATAGAACACAATTTTTTTATTATTAAAGTATTTATTTGTATCAATAGTTATAATGTTATTTAGTTTATTAAATATAGCCGATAAAACAAGATATCATTTTGTATTACCATATGAATTTCATCTTGTATTTTTAGTTATTATATGTGATTTAATTGCATTTTTAATTAATAACGATTTGGAATTTTTAGACCCTGTTATTGATTATATAGATAAACATATTTATCATATAAAAAGAGATAATGACGATAATCAAGTATCATTAGGAAGTATCAGATCATCCCAAAGATCCAAGAAGCGTGGTGACAGCATAAATTCAAAATTAGATCTTGAAAATGGGGCAAATGACCCAAATAAAGAATTAAATAATAATGAAATTAACAGTTTAAGTATTAGCAATAATAACTTAAACAACAGTGTAAATAAAAATACAATTAGTAATAACAATAGTAATAGTAGCAATAACCATGACAATATAACAACAGAAGAATAAAGAATTAAAATAAAATTTTATCCCCTCTTTCTAAAAATATCTATTTATTCCTTTTTTAATAATAAAATTATATAACTGAAATAAAACAAATATTACTGCTTTCATAAAGAAAAATGTCTTTTGCAGATTCCATAAATTAAAAAAAAAAAAAAATATTTTTATTTATTTGTTAAGATACGCTCCACTTTTTGCACTTGTTGTATTTTTTATTTAATTTTTAGAGGTGTCTAGATACTGTTAAAACTGCACCAGAATTTTCACCCTTATCCTATGAAAAAAAATTCATATCCTTGGCAACTTGACCAATTGGTTCGAAACTAACAAAGTATCCATTGGTAAGGATACCCTTTCCAAATGGGTAAAAGTCTGTTTGATTACAACCATTACGAAATTCATCTTTGCAGGTGTATACATTTATTCCATCAGAAGAGACATTTCTAAACTCACAGGTATGGTCATTGCTTCTATAAACTTTATCTAATAACATAACCGTAACCAATCTATTCTTATTTTCACATAAACTATTTAAGTGAGTTATTTGTAAAGCGGCGGACATATTAAAGATGGATGAGTAAACTTGGGGATCATACCATATAGTCTTTATTGATTCTGGGTAATCTCTCCCCAATTTAATACATTTTCCAAGATGAACTTTATTTGCACCATATCTTTTACCAAAACAATAGTCCAAACCATCACTTTTTTCTTTGTGAAACATATATACACCACTTGAATTTGTTTCAATTTTTGAGAGTGCATTACAAAATTCTACAACCTTATATTCAGTTTCGGTACCTGGTTGGCAATTTCCAGAATCATAACGGATATCTAATAAAGCTTTTCCAATGATTTCAATTGAACATAGCACACAAGAAATATAAATTAAAAATAAAAGTAATATTAGTTTCATTTTTATTATTATTTTTTTACAATATGAATGAAAAAAAAAAAAAATAATTACAGATACATGGAAAATTAAAGTAAATGAAAAAAAATAAATTTAAATTAAAAAAAATAAATTTAAATTATTTTTTGGGGTGTATTTGTAATATATAATTGAAGGGGGTTGTCTCATAGAGATAATTTTTATTTTCATTTAAAAAATAAAAAAAAAAAGAAAAAAATAATAATTTAAATTTTGATTTTGTTATGTGAGTGGAAATTTTTAATGAGAAAGAATTTCCATAATAGTTGGTTTTTAATTCAATACAATATCTTTTTTTTTTTTGATTAAACAAAATAAAAAAAAATATGGAAAATATAAACATCAGCCAATACAAAAAAAAAAAAAAAAATAAAGATTATTTTATTTGTAATTTTTTAAACTATTTATAATAAAAAAAAAAGTCTATAGATAATGTTTGTTTTATTTAAATATAAAAAATATAGATAATAATATTTTTTTATTTAATCTTTTTTCTTTTGATCTTTAGTTTTTTTACCTAAAAGATCATTATACTCTTCTTTTAACTTCATATATTCCTTTGAGGTGTTTTCAGCTTGTGATTTCATAGCTTGATGTTCTTTTTCCATTTTCTTTAAATCTTTTAATTGTTTTGATAATTTTTCATTTTCTGAAATAAGAGTTTCAACTTGGCTTTGATTATTTTTGGTTTGCTTGGCGATGGCATCTTGGTTAACTTCCATTTTTGAGAGATCAGCAACGATTGATTGTGAACGGAAAATGAGGAAATATAAAAAGAGTGAAAAACCAGAGATGTAAATATTTCTTTGATATCTAAACATACGAGTGTATTCATTTTGTCTATCGATTTTAGAGGCAAATTCTGGGCTGTGAAGTTTCTTGTTGATATTGTATGAGTTGACAATTGAATCAACGAAAACAATTAAAAGAAGTAATGCGACGACTCTAAGAACAATACGGGTATTTGGTCCATTGATTAATGGTTTGATTTTTTCATAGATTGATTTTCTTTTTTGCATTGAAATTGGTAACATTAAAATTGAACAGAATAAAATTTCTGACATTAAAACAACAAAAACTAAACCCATTAAAAGTTCCATTTTTGTAAAATTATTATTATTATTATATTATATATATAATATTATACAGGTAAAAATATTTTAAAAAAAAAAAAAATTAAAAAAATTTATTGTTGTTCAAAAAAAAAAATTTTTAAAAAAATTAAAAAATTATAAAAAAAAAATAAAAAAAAAAATAAAAAAATTAAATTAAATTTTAAGTTCACCGTCATTATTATAATTTCTTTTTCTTTATTGGATGACAAGATAATATAAAAAAAAAAAAACAATAAAAAATAATATCAATTTGATACGCGTCATCTTTATATTAAAAAAAAACTAAAAAAATAAAACTTAGAAATATTTATTAAACTTAATATATTATATTATTTTATTATTTTTATTATATTATTTTTTGTACACTATTATTTTAATTTGATTTATTGGTTTATATTATATCGTCAGATTTCCAAATTTTAATAAATTTATCTGCAGAACCACTGAATAAATTAAATGATGAAGAGGTTAAAGCGTGGATGTAACTACGGTGGCTTGAAATAGTTTTTAAATTTTGAAAATTATTTAAACTCCAAACTTTGATTGTATGGTCAAAGCTACCGCTAAATAAGTATCCGCCACACATTTCTAATTGCCAAACCTCCCATTTATGCGCATTTAATAAAGAAACAATTGGAGAGTCACGATGGGATTGACGCAGGTCCCAAAACTTGATTTGGCAATTCTGTGAACCTGTAACAAGAGTATTTGTATTAACTAGTTTCAAAGAAAGAATCTTGTCAACGGGATCAATTCTATTTGTGACGATTTTCATTTGATTTAAATCCCAAACACCTACCGATCCATCGGAAGAACCGCTATATAAATTTTGATCTTTGAGCTCGATGGTGTTGATACCTCCATTGTGACCCCTTAGTGTAGTTACTAACTGTTGAGATTTTCTATTCCATACTTTAATATTATTATCGCTTGAACTAACTATAAGTTTATCTTTTATCGCTATGGAGAAAATTTTTGTTCTATCCCTGATTATTGATTTACATTGATTACTCTTTAAGTCCCATATCCTAATGGTATGGTCATTTGAACCACTATATAGTCTTTTTCCATCTGATTTTAATGCCCATATAGTTGATTCGTGTCCCTTGAATACTTGTTTACTCTTTAAATCATCTAGGCTATATAGGTTTATATTGGTATCGTGGGACCCGCTAAATAAATAGTTATTATCAACTTCTAATGATGTTATTCCTTTATTTTGTTGAATTTCTTTTTTTAATGATAAATTGTGTAGATTCCATGGGTGATTCTATTTATCAATAATTAAATTTTTTTATTAATATTTGTTTGTTAATTATAAGATTATTTTTTTTATAATAATAGTGTTTGAAATATTTACTCTTTTAATAAATCTATTTTTCCATGATAAGTTGACTCTATAATTAATATTTAAAATTTCTTCTAAACCTTCTTTGTTTATACTATTGCTATTATCATTAGTTTTATAATTACTATTAATATTATTTTCGTTATCATTGTCATCTATGCTTATGGATTTATTGAATCCTTCATTAAATTTTATTTTGTCATCATGTTGTTGGTGGTGATTTTTGATAATAATATGATTATCATTATTATTTGTAATTGGTTTTTCTATTGAAGAGGAAGAGGATGAGGGTAATAATGCTGGTGAGATATTAGTCGGGGTTGTTGATGATGATAGTGAAATTGGTGTATAATTTGAACTCGATAAACATTTCCTATCAATATCTATTAGTGAATAGTTTGAAAAATAATCTTTATAAGATTTGAACCAAAATCTATCATCTTGAAATATATTTTCAAAATATTTGCATGTCATTGAGAAATTTATTATCATTTTAATTACTTGTTTTTTATTATAGCTATTATAATTTATAGATAAATCATTATTATTATGATTTATATTCCTACAATTTATTTGAATTGGTGAGCTTATGTTATAATAGTTTACATTATTTTCGATTGTAAAAATGTGAAACAAAATTTCGATGGGTATATCAAAAATTGTAATTTTATTTAAACTATTACTATCGCTATTATTATAATTCATATTATTTTGTTTATTATTCTTTATAGTTTTGTTTTCTATATCTATTTTTGAACTACTATCTGGATTATTTTCTATATTATTATCATCTATATTATTATTGTTATTATTATTAAAAATATTATTTTCTCTTGCTTTTGCAATTGTTGCCATTTTTTATTAAAAAAATAAAATTAAAAATAATAATAAAAATAAAACTAAAAACTATTATTATTTTAAATAAAAAATAATATGTTTATTATTATTATTATTATTATTTATTATTTTTATTATTATAAATATAAATAAAATTTATATATAGCACTGTATTAATAATTATTTTTTTATTTATACATAAATAAAAATAATATTATTTTTTTAAAATTTTTTTTTTTGAATTTTATTTAATTTAAAAAATAAAACATTTTTCGAATTGTTTAACAAAAGCAAAAAAAATAATAGCTATTTTAGAAATAATAAGAAAAATAATGCTATTATTATTATTCTTATTATTATTATTGTTTAATTAAAAAGAAATAAGAGAAATCAAAAAAAATTAAAAAATAAAAAAAAATTAAAAAATAAAAAAAATTAAAAAATAAAAAAAATAAAAATTATTTTAATTTAAATAGATTTAATAATAAAAATAATTAAAAAAATAATTAATTTTATAATGATATTATTTTTAAAAAAAAAGATTCCAAAAGAATTTTTATAATAATAAACATTAAAACCACCGAGTTGAGTACCGACATAAAAAGTTTAGGTGGTGCGAAAAGGGTTTGGAGAAGTTTTGATTCTTGATAGAAATCGAATAAAAATAAAAATTCATTCTTTGGGCAATGAATTTTTTTATTTTTTCCAATTTATGTTAATGTTTTTTGAAAATATTAAAATCGAAAATTTAAATTTTGTATATATATCTTGGTAATTATTAATTTATTAATTTTTTTTTTTTTAATTTTAAATCATTTTTTATTTTTTTTAATTTTTTTTAATTTTAAACCATTTTTTATTTTTTTTTAATTTATTATTAAAAAATGAC